GGCACAGTAAGAATACCTATCCCATACTGCTATTGTGAGCACTAAATTAAATAGCTAAATATATTAAGTACTTAACATGGTGCTTCTCACATAGTAAGTGTTCATTAAATATTATTAGTATCATTACATCATGCTGGTTTAATCAGTTACTCATTGCTGAGGGGCCACACAGTCCAAATGGCTTTTATAAACAAATAAACAAACAAAAACAATCTGAACTTGATGACCTTACATTCATTTAAAAAGTAAATGAGCTCCTTTATAGTTAAGGTTCTTAGAGTATAAGAATGATCTCAGAATATACTATTAATTACATATAAATTGTATACTTTTCTGTATTAACTTAATTACATATAAATTGTATACTTTTCTGCTACTATTTGGTCTCCTAACTATCCTCTACTATCAGCTAAGTGGCTTCAACAAAAGTATCTTTGGATTTACTTTTAAGATGCCAAATTACATATGCACTTTTTTTTTTTGAAGATTTTATTTATTTATTTGACAGAGAGAGATCACAAGTAGGCAGAGAAGCAGGCAGAGAGAGAGAAGGAAGCAGGCTCCCTGCCAGGCAGAGAGCCTGATATGGGGCTCGATCCCAGGACCCTGGGATCATGACCTGAGCCGAAGGCAGAGGCTTTAACCCACTGAGCCACCCAGGTGCCCCTTACTGTTAGCAAGTATTGGAAATTCTGGAGTAAGATAGTACCACTTTCATGCTTACAGTATAAGTACTCAAAAATACTTTGGAGGGATGTCTGGGTGGCTCAGTTGGTAGGGCCGCTGCCTTCGGCTCAGATCATGATCCTGGGGTCCTGGGATCGAGTCCTGCATCGGGCTCCTTGCTTGGCAGGGAGCCTGCTTCCTCCTCTCTCTCTGCCTGCCTCTCTGCCTGCTTGTGTGTACTCTCTCTCTCTGACAAATAAATAAAATCTTAAAAAAAAAAAAATACTTTGGAAAATGGCAGGCTCCTAAACAAACAAACAAACAAACAAATAGGCTTAAACACTAGTCCCCAGTTTTAAAACTAATAACTGTTATCTCTAATCTTTGTCAAGAGTTCCTAATTACCCTCCAATCTAAGAAAAAAATCTTCTCAGGTCAACATTCCCATCAATTCTTTGTTATTCTCTCCTCAGGAGTTGTACTAAGTTGTACAAGTTTACATATATAAAATTTATATATCTAAAAAAAATTTTATATATCTATATCCATATGTATCTGTATTCCCACCACATGCATTGAGCAGGTCAGTATGGTTCTCTAGGGAAATAGTATGATATTAGATAAAACTGATTCTTTCATCAAGGTCTCAAAACTTCAATTTGTAATAATAAATGTAGCATCCTAAATATTTTCTTTTTTTTTTTTTTTTTGGAGATTTATTTACCTATTCATTTGACACAAAGAGAGAGAGCACAAGCAGGAGTAGAGGCACAGGGAAAAGGAGAAGCAGGCTCCCAGCCGAGCAGGGAGCCCACTCTGGGGCTCCATCCCAGGACCCCAAGATCATGACCCAAGCCAAAGTCAGATGCTCAACTGACTGGGAGTCACCCAGGCATCCCAGCATCCCAAATATTTTAACCATGGTCCTAATATACATGGGAAACAAGAAACATGATTTTAGAATATCCTTTAAATCATAGAACTTTCCAAGCAATGTCTTCTAAAACCTTTAAGAAAAATATCACAGGTATTCCAATCATTTCTCGGTCTTCTTTAAAAAAATTAAACTTTACTGTCACATTTACTACTTTATTTGAAAGCATATCATAAAAGAATGATTTTATAAAAGCACTGGATAACTACCTCACTAGTTTTAGAAATTTGTATTCCTTCTGTTATGAAATAATTGGGTCCTTATTATCACATTAACCAAAATTTGGGGACTGGAACTAGATTGTATCTCTTGAGTCCCTCTAATGGAAGCTGCATACACAAAAGCTTTTTCAAGTGTATATTTTTAAATTATTACTGAATTCTAAACAATTTAAAGAAAAAGCAACCGAGCTTCCCAAAGCAATTTCTGTAGTAAAGTGTATAATCTGATTTTTAACAAGTGCATAACACTTCCCAGCAACATCTCTGCCTCAAGTTGGCTGTATGTCCCATTTGACTCAGTAGCCATTACAATTTGTAGGGCTCTCCTGAAGTCTTCCACCCACCTTCATTCTATTCTAGGCATATGAGCTGGTTTCCCAAGTCACAAAGAATATATAGATCACTAGGTAAGAATTGCTCACTTGCTAGCTTATTCTAACTTACTCTCTCACACACATTAAACACACATAAATCCACACATACGCTAAGGTACAAACACTGTTCATGCCATTACCTCTACTATAATCTCAGTGGATGAAGTGTCCTGTCTTCCACCAAGGCTCCCCTCTGCCCTGGAGTCCACCTCCATGTATATACACTTTTCCTGCCCTTTTACCCTTTGTTCCGCTCCTTTACCATTTTCTCTGTCATTGCATTCATCTGCAGTCTCACCAGCATTATTGCGTTAGTATCATAATTGGTCTTACTGTCTCTGGTCTTGCTCCCCTCAAACCATCCCCCATACTGCTTCCAGAATAATCTTTTGTCAATTAAGTTTAATCAAGAAAACTCCCCTGAAGTATATTATATCCTTCAGTGTTTCCTTATGTGCTTCAGGATGGAGTTCTAATTCCATAGTTTGGTGTAATCAAACCCCCATTCTCCCCCCAATCTCTTTAACCTATCTTTATCCCACACCAACACTGTGCTTTAACTACTTTGAATTACATACAGTTCCCTGAAATTACCACACTACGTAACAGCTTACTGCCTTTGCCCATGCTCTTCCTTTCTCTGAAATACTTTCTCTTTACCTGGATTATCTTATACTCCTTTAAGACAGTAGAAAAGTATAACAGTAGTCATTAATTCTACTCACATATCTTCCAGTTTTCCTCTCCCTCTGGGTAGAGACGATATTGCACTTCACAGTCCCCCTTTTGAAATTTGTTTTGACCAATAAAACTCTAAATGCCAGTGCATAATTAACCACTCTCTTCCCATTGCTGCATCTGGATCATGGAAGTATATGAGCTTTCCTACTAACAGATTTTAGACATGTAGTCTCTGTGAGAAATAAACATTTGTTGTGTTAGGACACTGTGAATTGGGCTTGTTTGTTCCTACAGCATAACCTAGGCTATTCCAGCTGATTAAAAAAAAAAAAAAAAAAAAAAATAGGTTACCTTTCTCAGGAAGGCTTCCATGAGCCCAACACAGTCTGACTCAAATGCTGTTTCTCCAAATGATGATAGCTTTGTATTCATACCTCATTACAGCACAACACTGTAGTAAGATGGCTGCTATAACCATCCATCTCCCTTCAAACAGTCCTTAGAAGGGCAGGAACTGTGTTTTTCATCTCTGTATTGCAGAGGCAGCTTTTAGGCAAACAGGCTTGAGCAATGGAATATAGAAAAAGGCCCATCAAGAGCCTACCTCAAAATATCCATAGGCCCTAACTGAACAATAGGCTACTTACAATTAGGCACAGATAACCAAAAAGGAGAATTCCATAGGTGATTATACCGCCTCACCTTCCCCCTTTAAATAAACAGCCTCCACCCACCACCTCATTGCAGACAGCCTTTCCTCTACCATTCTGCCCATCTCTCTCCCTTGCAGTATATTCAATAAACTTCTGTCTCCTTTGTTCCGCCTCAGGTGAACTCTTTCACCCCCTGCACTACAGCTTCTACCTGATCATTACCCCCCATCCAATGAAGAGATGCTCCATTTGGACACCACATGTAGGGTTACCAATTAGCACAAGTGCCTCACTCATGGTAAGTGAAACACTGAGACGTTTGCTAAGTTAACTGGTAATTCATTCATTCACTTATCAAGAACCAAGAACTACTCTAGTTGCTAGAGATAGAGTAATACCAAAGCAAAAAAAAAAAAAAAAAAAAAAAAAAAGCCATCTGCCCTCATAGGACATGATTTTCCTGTGAAGGATAATGACAATAAGCAAGACAAGTAAGTATAAAATATATAGTTTATTATATAGCGATAAATGCTAAGTAGAAAATATAGAGCAGAGATATGTGGATGGTGACGAGGTGATCTTGTAATAAAGACCCAAAGGAAAGTAAACAATGTGCTATACAGATATCTAGGGAAGAGCATTCAGTAGAGAGAATGGTATAAAAATCCTGAGGGGAAACATGCCTAGCATGTTCAAAGAACAACAAAGGAGCCAGTATGGTTGGGCAAGTGAGTGATTAGAGATGAAATTAGAGCAGTAACAAGGAACCATCTCTTGAAGAGGCCAGTTTAAGAGCTTTTAGCTTTTATCTTGAATGAAACAGAAAGCCATTGAAAAGTTCTGCGTGGAGGAAGAGGTGGAAGAGGATAGCAGAGGATAAGGTCAGAGATATAATGGGGGCCCATATTCTTTGATTATATAACATATTTCCTCTCCCACAAAACAGGTGAAACACAGATACACCAATTAATCAAGAAAGGTTAAAAATGACATTGAATGACATTTTATGATGATCTCAATCTGCTTATTACTTACTATACAGAGATATTGATTATAATCCATATATAACTACCAAAATATAGTAATGTGCCAAAGTATCATAGTGTATCAAACATAAGAGAGATCAAGTACAAAAAGAGAGAGAGAGAGAGAGATCAAGTGCTTAAAGTAGAAACAAATCCTAGTAGACAATAAAACTAAATGATTTAAAAAATCAGATATAGATTTATAGCTCTAGGGATCTTGCTCTCTTTATTTGGATTTGCCCAAATACAAAACAAATAAAAATAAAATCATCCTCCCATTGTAATACTGCCTTCTATAAAAACTACATTCCAAACTCAAGTTCATTGCCAGAAGCAAACAAACCAAAACAAAACAAAACCCAAAAAAAAAAAAAAAAAAACAAGTGAAAAAAAAAAAAACACAAGTCAAAACACCTTTTGCCAAATGTTAAATCAAATAAACACACCTTGTGTTGTGTCCTTGATGCTGCCAAGTCTGAACTCTGGAGAGCTGCCAAGGGGTAAGACGTTTCCAAAGGCAAGATCTTTACCGAGGAAGCTGCACTTGCATTCCTGGCAAATTCAATTCCAGATACCAATAACAATGCTCTTGGTTGCTTTTTCTTACTGGAATTCAAAGTAGAGTATATAGAAACATTATAAATGGATGATCTCCAGTGCCCTAATGCCTACAAAATAAAATCACTGTGGTAGCATTTTCTAAGAGGTGTTTCTTGGTTTGCTAAGTCTGTTACACATTCACTTGAATTAAGTTTCTCTGGTCAAATATACTCAGAAAATGTTGCATATCATGCTCTTTTTTCACAAAGCATACCTTCAAAAACAAGGCTCTGAGAAATCCTGTAATAGAGAAGCCTATTTAAATTTACTTGACCCAATGTGTCTAAAATTTATTTAATTAAAGACCCCCTTTCCACTGTAATAAATAGTAACATTATTTCTGCAGATCACACTTTAAGAATGGTTCATTGTATAGTAATTATCTAAAAGGTAGTTAGAGATGTATTCACTATATTTTAGAATTGAATAGGAATATAAAGAGACCAATTTGAATTTGTTCTCTGTTAGTAATTTATACAGGGTCAACCTATAAAAATAATTTTATTTAACCATAATTGCTTAAATATGTTACTTTCTAAACTAAATGCCATTAAAAAGCAAGAAAGGAAACAATCAGATAATAGATGATTTATTCATTTTTGTTCAACAAATATTTACTGAATACCTATTATGTGCCAGGCACTGAACTTATCTCTAGTTTTATATTGCAATTGCCCTTATATAGATACTCTTATCTATGTAAGACAATGGTTCCAAACCATTGTCTCATAATAGTAACACCAACTCAAAATTTAACCCCAAGCATTTGAGAACACAAGTTTCACTAATTCTAATCATATCATTAAAAATAGCTTGCAACCTTTAGGCTGTTTTTAAATAGTGATAATAATCCAGCTAAAGCGTGATAATACAAAAGCATAGTCTTTTAAAAATGGTGCTGCAAAAGAATAAAATTGAAGTCTGACATGGGAAACAAAGGCAAAAAGAAAAACTAAATTTCCTTACTATCTACAGCCCACTGCCAAGTCCTTGAAAAAGGCAGAGTGACATTCCTCTAAGGACTCAACTGCCTCGATGTTAATACTTTGCTAAGGGCTAAAGGCAATCTTAATCTGACCCTCAGGATCCTGCAAGTCTACTTTAACACATAAAAATCTCTTTGGAAACATCTTTTCTCTCTATCATCGCCTCCCCCTCCAAGATGCATGTTGGCAATCATCCCCCAAGCTTATTACCCACTGACAGACAATAATAAATGACCTCTTCCCAACAACAGCTAGTCCCCTCAAGGTCCTGGAAATCCAAAAAGGGATAACATTATCCCGAACCCCTCCCAACTTGAAAGTTGGTATATAATCAGCCACTCTTCATGACCCCAGTGCAGCCATTTCTGAAAACACAGTTCCTTATCCCTGTGCTTTAATGAAACCACCTTTTTGGACCAAAGACATCTCAAGAATTCTTTCTTGGCTGTTGGCTCTGAACCTTAACATCTTTCCTACATCAAAGTCCTGTTTTACCATACACAAAATTTAACTTAAATGAATCACAGACCTAGAGGTAAATACTGAAATTATAAAAGGCTTAGAAGAAAATGGAGGAGTAAAACTTCATGACCTTGGGTTAGGCAATAGTTTCTTAGACATAACACCAAACATACAAGCAACAAAAGAAAAAATAGGTACATTGGACTTCATCAGAATTAAGAAAAACCTTAGTGCTCCAAAGTACATGACCAAGGAAGTGAAAAGACAACCCAGAGAACAGGAGAAAATATTTGCAAATCACATATCTGATATGGGTTTTATACCCAGAATGAAGAACTCCTACAATTCAACAGTAAAAAATGCAAATAATCCAAATTTTAGAAGGCAAAGGACTTAAATAGATATTTCTTCAAAGAATAAAAACAAATTGCCAATAAGCACATGAAAAGACAGTAGATTTCATTCGTCACTAGGGAAATTCAAATCAAAACCACAGTGAGATACCACTTCACTAGACAGACAATAAGACGTGTTAGTGAGGATGTAGAGAAACTAGAATCTTCATACCCTGCTGGTGGAAAAGTAAAATGGTGCACAGCCATCTTCAAAATACTTTGGCAGTTCCCCCCAAAATCATAGAGTAACCATATGACCCAGCATTTCCACTCCTAGGTATTTACCCAAGAGAAATGAAAACACATGTCCACATAAAAACTTGCACATAAATGTTCATAGCAGCATATTCTTCTAGCCAAAAAACAGATAAATAAAATGTGATATAACCATTCCATAGAGTATTATTCCACCAAAAAAGGAATGAAATATTGATACATGTGACACCATGGGTGAACCTTGAAAACATTATTCTAAATGAAAGAAGCCAGTCACAAAAGTCCAGTTAATACACCATTCTTATTGTTCTCTTTATATGAAATGTCCAGAATGAGAAAATCTATAGAGACAGAAAACAGGTTAACAGTTAGGTAAGGCTGGGAGTGAGAGCAGAAGAGATGGGGCATGACTGATAATGGGTACAGGGTTTCTTTCTTGAGGTTATGAAAATATTCTAAAATTACATAGTGGTGATGGTTGTACAGCTTTGTGAATATGCTACAAAACTTCTGAATTGTACATTTTAAAATAATAAATTTAATGGTTGTAAACTACATCTCAATAAGGTTATTAAAATAAAAGAATTATAATAATATATATCTGTAGTCCTTATCTAAAATGTTTGGGCCAGTTGTGTCTTAAAGGTTTTTAGATTACAGAGAGGTAATATGTCTCATTTACTGTAATTACAAAACAATCCTAGAGGAATGTAGGGACAGCATATTAATACTTCATAGCAGAATCTTATCACTATTGACAATGACTAGAAAAGTAAACACTACATAAATAGTTCCATGTCATTTTAAATGCAGTTTTGTCTCAACTGAGTTTATGTAATACTTGGAGAAAAATTTATTTTGCAAAACCTTTTTTTTTAAATAAGTTTTGGGTTTTGAAAATGTGAATAATGGGTATTGGGCCCTTATTAATGATGATGATTAATATTAGCAACAATAATCATATCAGCAGTTTCCATTTACTGTGCATTACATGTCACATGTATTATCAGAAAGAAATGCTCATAACATTCCTGTGGGACAAGTACAATTAACTCCAACTGGTAAAGCTGAGTTTCCTAACAATTAAGTGACTTTTCTAAGCACACACAGTTAACAAAGAAAAGGGCACAGATTTGAATGCAAATCTATCTAATCATAGAGCATACTCACTTTCCTCTACAGTGAAGAGTATGTTCAGATCATCCCTCTGAGATATAGACTTCAAATCTATAAAATGGAGTAAAGAACTCATATATATCAGAGATTATTGTAAGAATGAAATGAGATCATTTTTATGAAAATAATGTGGCAAATATAAAAGTCTATATAAATGTGAGAAAATATTACCTGGAATACTATTTTTATTATATATCTAAATCAATGTTTAAAGTGAGATACAGTTTTAGTCCAATTCTTTAGAGGCATTCAAAATACACTAATTTTATTTGAAGAAACACTAAGCATTAAACATTGTTTTTTAAATATCTAAGAAAAGAAAATCCAAATGTGTTAAAGTGGTCCATAACTAAACGTCTATCTCAACTTTTTATAAGCCATATATAACACTGGTGCAGTGTGCAAACATATATATTGTGTTTGGTTTTAAAGTAGTTCTGTGTACCCAGGAGAGGCCAGATTATATTTTTTACATTATAGGTAACTTCTTAATCTTTTGAAATCTTAAAATTATTTCAGTTTATTTAAGAGTCTGCTCACAAAATTTATGTACCATTTAAGTTTCTACAATAATTAGAGGATTATCTATATATCCTCCCTCAAGGAAAATGTTGTTATAAATACGACATGCGAGGGTATATCCCAATGCAACTTCTGTTCCATGATGGTATATTCATAGCATTAAAAAAATTTAGGGAGTGCTATATTTGAAAATTTAAGAATCATTATTCTAAAATACCGATCCAATCACATGGGCTTTACAGTATAAAAATCTAAAATGGATCCTCACTGCCTATAAGATGAAAATTGCTTTGTATGGCATATAAAACAGCCATCTCGGCCTGGGCCAGCAGGTCTTTATTGCCTCCACTCCAGCCACTTTTCTGTGTTCCAGCCACTGAATTTCTTTCATTTCCCATCTATGTGATCCTATTGACAGCTTAGTAGCTTTACAAATCTTGTTCTCTTTGCCTTGATGTTACTTTAGCCCCAGCCTTACCTACCTTAAATTCACAGGCATCCTTCAAAACCTTTCAAAGCCACTCCCCCTATATAATTCACCTATGTCTGACAAACAGATCTTTGCTGATTAACTGATTGATACGTAACTTAATACAGTACATGCTTATCTCTATACACAGATTTTTGGTATACATAAAGTATTACTATTTCTTACAATACTGCAATAATTAACTGAAAGTCTTTGGAAATGAAATTCTAAAATCTTTACATGAGTATGCTTCATTTATGGCACAGAGATGAAGAAAAGAAATTTTGTATGATTAAATATAAAGAATAATAGACTTATTTTTAACCCCAGTCCATATAAGACCAAGAAAAGCGGGGGCGGGGAGGGGGGAGTAGAACACTGCAAAGCAATTACTAAGTAAATTTGGGTACCTTGAAATAAAAAGAAAATTCCAATCTTATACACTAAAGTTTATAGTTTAGGGCAAGAATTGCAAACTTTTCCTATAAAACACCAGATCATAAATTTTTAGGCTTTGAAGGTTGAGGGAAAATCAAATTATAACTGTGTCGCATCAATTTGTAGTGCTCTGAGCAATACAAAGCAACACACCCACACATTTGCTTATCTGCTGCAACTACTCAACACTGCAGTTTAAGCACCACATACAATATGTAAACATATGTGTAGGTGTGTCCCAATAAAACTTTATTTGTAAACAAAATTTAAAATCCATGTTTACACCACAAAATATTGTTTGTTTTTTCCAACCATTTAAAAGCAAAAACTATTCTTAGTTCA